CTGGAGGGTTTCCGTCGGCTCTGTGCCGTCGCGTTTCGCGTTGTAGTCCACGACTTGGGTCACGAGACCCAAAAACTTCACATTCAAAGATATGCTTCTGTCACCTCCGTGATTGACGTCAAGAGGATCGCATCTGTGATCGGCGGGAATGCAACTTGTGGGCGGAAGGAAAGGCCTTCATTTCTTTACCAACTGGAAAGCCGCTCTGCCTCGGCGACAGAGCTTGATTGACTGCCAGGCACACCGGTTATCCTTAATCCTTGGCTCAAAGGCTGTTGTTGCCACAGCCGGACGTCCAACACGGCACGATTGTACCTTTGGCACGGGCTAACCAGCCACATTGTGGCTGGACACTGGCTGTTGTCACTAACTAAAGGTACTTGAATTGCTCTGGTAAATAGGTGGGAAAAGTAAGTTTACAATGCTTTTACAGGGGAGCGTGCGCCACCTAATTTACCCAAGCCCCAACCCCTTTGTCGAGGCAGGCTAGCATTGATCGTCCCCCGAGGCAAGGCTAGGCTTGACACCTGGAATTCTCAGGCTAGGCGGAGGCAGACAGGGGCGGGCTAAGGCAAAGGCGGGGCGTTTCAATACACTGTGACAACCTTCCGCAACGGTTCATCCGGCATACGTAGCTAACGGTTCCTGAGGACAACTGAGGCAGCACTAAAAGCAGAAACCTGCGATCAACGTCTCTGGCCGGATTTAAAGGAAAACGCAAGGCCTCTACATGGTTGCCATTTCCCGCAGAAGGGATAAGGACGGCATGAAGAAGTATTCGCCTCCTTTGGATTGCACGAAAGAGTCGAAGTCGATCGACTTCCTCGCGCCTTTGCCGTCGACAATGCTCATTTTATTCATGCGACTGGAACCCATGATGGGGTCGATTCCGGGAGTGACTTTCACACTGGTAGCTTTCGGTGGGAACCTGTTATTATTGATCCAATCTAGAAACGAACGGAGTGGGTCAGACGGTCGACAATTCCAGTCTGGGTAATGGCTGGGAAAGCATACTCTTAGTTATGAACTGGAACCCCTTCGCGAGGCTGCTCTGGTAGCAGACGAACAGGAGGCCACGGTCTTCGGGCATCTTCTCCTCGCCGCTGAAAAATTCTTTCCCATACGGAATGCCGCGACGCATGATGTCGTGGTCGGTGCGGTCGCCGAGGTCCCCACGAGGCTTCGTCTTCCGGATATGGGCCGCAAAAGGGCAGTTTTTGTCTTGGAGGTCCTCCGTGTAATCAAAGTCGTTTTTCTCGGCCTCCTTAGGATTGTCGACGTTGGGAAACACCTGCACCGGGACACCTGCAAGCAACTGTCAGATTCTGTCTATACTGGAGACGACAAAAGTGGCTCCCCAGACTCACCACTCTCCCAGCGCCCGACCAGGCGGGCACGTAGCTGTGCTGGGGTGTAATTCAAACCGGGAGCTTTGGTCTCCACGAAGCTGCAGGAGCCAGTCAGCCCACGAAAGAAAACGACACACCACGTGCCGCAACGCACCTGCGGAATTCCGGAACAAATTGTTTCAACATTCTGAAAGCCATGTAACTGCCATCCGTGGCCCAAGAGGGCTCATCCTTTCCGGTGATGATGATAGTTCTAGGGCCGTCTGGTTAGAATGTTTGCGGCGGCCTTCCAACGGGGGCTTGCCGGGTAACTTACGCTGGATCCGTGAGTATATGTCGTTTATTGGGAAGCTTGGCTTGTGCATCGTCGAGACCCTTAAGTAGAGGCTGAGAGATACCGTCTTTGAACCCAAAGCTGGGGACAGAGTTAGATGGCCTGACAGGGAAGTTCAACGAGCGGTCCACACTCACTGTTCATGGCCGGGCCGCGATTTCAGATCCTCCCCCCGAAGGACCTCGGCCACCTTCACGCCGCGGGATGACCC